ACGCGCACCTACCAGCTGGTGCAGCAGTGTTGCCCGTACATGCTGCAGAAGTCTAGGATGTGCCGCGGCAACGAAGCCATCGCCGGTCTCGGCGCTGCATGCGATCAGTGGCACGCTCTATCGGCGGACCACGGCACCACTCTCAAGATGCACGCGCTCTCGTTCTTGGGCACGCTGGCCAGTCCAAACCGCGGCACCTGGGACACAGACAACGTGCAGAAGCTGCGCAACATAGGTTTCTACCAGCAGGTGGCTTGCGCATGCGGCTTGACGCGCACGCACAGTGAGCAGTATCACAAAGATCGGCGACAGCAGCTGCAGCTGCAGCAGCTGCCGCGGTTCCTGCCTCGGCTGTATCCCGACGGCCAGCGGGATGGGCTCATTGATCAGGGGCACGAGTTCGTCACGTACTTGGCCGGAACTCATCCAAACTTCTCTGCGCAGGAAGTGAAGTGGTGCATGCGAGCAGAGAAGTATATGCGGGACCTGCATGAGTCGCTCCAGCGGCTGCTGGAGCGCGCAAGGACGGGAGACTCCAAAGCATGAGCGTAGCGCTGCGCGTGCCGTTTCGGGCCGCGTAGTTGCTGCGCCAGCAAGCAGTGACGACCAGCCGCAACGCTCGCGTGCCGTTTCGGGCCGCGAGCAGCGGCGCACAGCCCAAGCTCGCCGGAGAAATAAGGCTGGCTTTTGCGGGGGCGGGGCGGGAGACGGAGCTGGGGAGTTTTTAGCGGCTTCGTGTTGTTCAGCTGGAGCCCCTGGAGCTCACCTCTTTTTGCCTTTGCTGTCCTTAACAGACCTCGGAAGGTCCATTTTGGGAGGTCCTGTGCCCATTTGTTTCTGTGGCTTTTTGAAGGGAAACCACCATTTTGCAGGGCTCGGTGCCCGTTTTTATTTTTTTTGGCTCGAAGGTAAACGGAACCCAACGGAAAACCACTCTGGTCGGGAAACGAGAAGGGGGCACCACCCATTTTGTGAAGTCTGATGCCTGTTTTTTTTTTTTGGTGGTTGTGAGGGGAAGCCAAAGGAACCCCACCCTAGTAAGGCCTTATTAAGGCCTCATTTGTGGGACACAAGAGGGCTGTGATTGACGGGTGCCGTGTTTTTTTGTTCGCTCAGCAGCTAAACGCCGTCGTTGCTTTTTGAACGGCTCAAAATCAGTTACTACTGTGACTTGGGCTTATGTTTACACACACGCACACCCACACATCACACACGCACACACGCAGCGCAACATCTTGTCACTAAACAGCTGTTTTCCACGGCACAGCAAGTTTGCCACAGCGAGTCACACGGCCATTACGTGTTAGGAGCAGGCTTGGCGTTTCGGCCGGCCGCTCCGCGCCATAGCAGGCAGTCTCCGCGCTTGGCGTTTCGGCCGGCGTTGACATGGCGACTTTCGTGAGCATCAGCGGCGACGCGCTGAATGCGCTGAAGGACGTGTACAGGAGAAACCTAAGCGTGCCCGAGCGCTTGGCTTCGCAGGAATGCGTGGCGTGCACGAAAGCCATAGCCGACGACAGGTGGCAAACAGAGCCAGGCAGACGCGAGCTGGAGCGCACAGGTGTGTGCGAGCGGAGCTGGGACACAATCCATGGGCCCGGCGTGTCGGACACAGCGGCTCAGCGGCAGTGCGATCGTCTGAGCATCAGTGGCGTGGAGACGCGCAGGCAGTGGATCATGTTCAGCAAAGTTCGCGAAGTCGCGCGCATGTCTTCAGAGCACGGACGACTTGCGTGGGAACTCATCTTGGGCCGCAGGCAGCTGCCACCTGCGACGTGATGTCACGCAGGCGTAGTCGTCGCTTGGCGCTTCGGCCGGCGACGCGCGCGACGTGTCAGCACGGATGTTGGCACCGACGGACGCGCTTGGCGCTTCGGCCAGCGTGCCTACGAGCGTGCGGAGCAGAGGGCCCGGAGTAGAAAAGATGGGGCCGCTTTGGTGAGGCTTGCTGTAAGACTTGTTCCTTTTTGCCACATGGTGTCACAGTCACAGGGCTCTGAAGGTTCCTACACCACCGGGGGGGGGGGAGGAAGCTGTTGCCAGGTAGCTGTCTTGCGATTGTGGTCCGACATGGGTGGCTTGCCAGGTATAGAGTTCGAGAGAGAGAGAGAGAGAGAAAAACAAAAAAAAAAAGAGAGAAAGAGAGAGAGAGAGAGAGCATAAATAGACAGATGCGCAGAACTCTGGAAAGCTGGTTGTGTGACTCGGGGGGTTCACTGCGCTCCGATCGGCTCCAAATCATAGTCACTGTCGTGTCTTGAGCAGGTTCTACACATACACACACACACACACATATACACGCACAACAAGCGCACGCACCCACGCATGCATTTTCGAGTACAACTGCTTTCGGTAGTTGCAGCGCGGCTTGGCGTTTCGGTCGGCCGTGCGATTGCGGGCGCCACGGACCCGCGGCTTGACGCTTCGGTCGGCCGTGTGATTGCGGGCGCCATGGCCTCCGCGGGCCAGCGGCCCATGGTTGTCAGGCCGTCCGAGCTGACGCAGCCTGGACGGCTAGACGGCGCTAAGCGACTGCTTGGACGCCTCGTGGAAGTAGAACACGTGCCCAACGCCCGCTTCGGGTGCTACCTCGTCTGCGGCCAGACGGCTCGCGACGTCATCGCCATCGAGGCGTGGCGCGAGCTGGCCGAACCCGCTGCCTCTCTTTTGAAGGCTTCGTGCGTGGTCAGCCTCACGCAGATCGCGCTGAGCAGGCGGCAGGCCTCGAAAGCCAAGTACACGCACAGCCAGTGCGACCTCTTTGTCCGCTTTGACAAAGGCGCCGGAGTCGAAGAGGAGACCACGCCGCCGCTGGAGCTGCCGGCCGGCATGCCTTGCACGCCCTTGCACCAGGCCGCTTGCTGGAAAGATGGCCTCGTCAATGTTCGCGCAGAAGTCACGGGTGGGTTCTCCCGCGCGACAGACGACAAAGATCGCCTCTTCAAGCTCACTCTGCGCCAGCCCGGCAAAGCCGGCGAGTTCTCCGAGGCGGAAGTGCTCGCGTGGGGTGAGCTAGCGACAGCGGCAGAACAGGTGCCGCGACCGGCCATGATGGAGCTCCGCAATCTGGCGGTGACCAAGCACGCAAAGAACGGCTTCACCTTGAAGTGGCTCAAGCAGACCGCCGCGTGCGCCCTGCCTGCGGTCGAAGCGGAAGAGCTCCGAGCCAACATGGCTGGCCGCGAGCGCTGCAAGACACTATCCCTGCGCGCTGGCGGCGCTGCCGCGCGAGACTACGGCGCCGGACCGGCGACTTTGGTCTCGCTGGCGACGCTCGGCGCTTTTTTGCCGGCGGCCGAAGCGAAGAAGTTCTCTCACGAGGACGTGTGGGAGGCACCGTTCTGCACGCTGGCTCACCTGCAGACCTTGTCCCGGGTGCCGGAAGACTCTTGGCACTACACAGGCTGCGCCACTTGCTTTCGCAAGACTTGCGACAAACACGACGAAGCTGGCGTCCGGCCGTGCTACAGCCTGGAGGCTACTGTGTGGGATCACACGGCCACGCTGGACGCGAGGATCTTTACCAAGTGCGTCGACGAAGTGCTGCGTGCTGCCTTGGCGTTTCGGCCGGGCGACGCGGTACAGTCGCGAGAGAATGCGGAGCACGAGATCCGAGCCCGCAAGTGGGCTGTGCGCTTCGTCGTGGCGCACGACGAAGCGTACTCTGGACCGACTGGCTCTCGCGCCGCGCGCAACACCTTGCAAGTGGTGCATGTTCGCGAGGCTCCGCTTACCTACTCGGGCTCAGCAAAGCCACTCCTGTGCTTGCGCGCGGCCGCCTCACTCCCGGGCTGCCCATGCATCTACTTGTCAGACGCGAACTTGGATGACGCAGGGCAAATTACGGCAGGTGAGGATCTGCCAGTCCAGTACGCGGAGCTCTTACTGCGAGTGACGGCCAAAGATCCTGTGCAGGAGTGCAACGAAGCCGAGCGCGGAGTGCGAATCATCTTCGAGTGCGCAGACGCCACGCAGCCAGATATCCGCGCGGACCTCATGTGGGTGGTCAGCGTCAGAGACAGCTTGGCCATCGCGCGACAGCGGCCTGACACGCTGTTGCGGGTGGTTGCAAAGCCTCATGTTCTGTTCGACACGGACGGCGAGCCTTCCTTGCGTCACTGGCAGGTGATCTTCCAGTTTCCGGCTGCGGACGCAGATATCGAGCCGTTTGCCCGCCGTCGGGCGTGGCAGCTTTCCTTGGACTCCCAGCCCAGCCTTAAAATCCAGCGTCTTCAGGAAGACGCCATGGCAATGACTCCGTTGACTAAGGTTGCCAAAGTAAAAGAGGCTTTGACCTCGCCCAGCTTTCGTGCTTGATGACGCGCGTGCCGTTTCGGGCCGCGCGTTCGTGTCGGCGCGTGCCGCGTCGGGCCGCGCGCTCGCGCGGACTGCTGCACCGCTGAAGCAGACGAAGAGAAAAGCCTAGCTTTTGCGCTTGACACGCGTGCGTTTCGGGCCGCGTGCTCTAGCCCAGACTACAGCACGGCTTGGGCAGACGCAAAGAAAAGGCGCTCTCGAGGGGGAGGGAGGAGAGTTGAACTTGAAGCGCTCGTTGGGAGCTTTGGAAAGGGAAAAAAAAAGAAAGAGAAAGAGAGAGAGAAAAAAAGAAAGAGAAAGAGAGAAAAAAAAGAAAGAAAAGAGAGAGAGAGAGAGAGACAGAGAAACAGAAAGAGAAAGAGAAAGAGAAAGAGAGAAAGAGACAAAGAGAGAAAAAGAGAGAGAGAGAGAAGCAAGGGGCCAAGGACAGTTCTCCAAACTATAGTTGTTCACTGCTTTGAAACTTCCGCCCCCCGGCTCTGCCGGACCTTACTGGTACAACCAAAATGGGTTTTTTCATTGGTTTTGAGCCACAGCCCGTTTTGGGTGCCATATGGCTGCGGCTCAAAAATCCGGTGCCAAAATGGAACCCTGGTAAGTGGAAACATGGACCAACACCTGCCTAACCCCTCCTGTTTGATTTTGAGCCACAGCCATCTTCATCTTCCGGGAGGTCCCTGACTTCAGGGAGTCGCCTGCCGCAGCACTCGCTGCTGAAGGCGTTCCAGGCGACTGCTGGGGTCCCTGGTGCGCAGGGAGAGGTCCACGTGGCCGTCCGGCCAAACGTCCTCCATATGCTCCACCTTCAAGTGGTCCTAGACGTCGGGCTGGGGGACCCCCCGTAGCCATGGCAACACCCAGGCCTGGAGTTCAAACTACTGCGTCTCGGTTTGTGATGTATAGTTCTGGTGGTACGTCTTGGTGAACGTCGACGGCACTACTTCTTTGCTGGCACAAAGAAGGGATTGTACCATTTGTGTTTATCCAACTGTAATGCCCCTTTTCTTTCAACCAAGGAGACGGCTGGTTGGTGAAAATAGGAATGCCAATAATGGGGATCAGTGTAACAGATACTAGAAGACACGAAAAAGGAACCCTCAAGATTTGAACCGACGCCAACAAACGGGTACCCTGAAATAAGGCGCACCCACATGGCACCTTGGTAAATGAAAAAGACTAAATCCTGCGCAACCCTTCTTAAATTTTGAGCCACACGCACCTCATGCTCATGTGGGTGTGCTGCTTGCCTGAGAGTACTTCTTGTTGGTGCTTGTGTTTTTGTTTCAAAGGGAAACCTCAACGGAAAACCAGAATTCTAGGGGTTGACTCCCCATCTTTTTCAGCCATCGTTCTTTTGGAAAGAAGGATCCCTGGAAAGAAGGGAAATGGAAGTTACCCCTAGAAGAATCCCTGGCGTCCCCATGGAAACACGCCACGCCGCCCTTTTGCGGCATGCGTCCTGCGGCTCCCCGGTGGGCCCGAAGCCTTTGCCCGCGGCCGCTTCCAGGCCGATCTTGGAGCAGTCCATCAGCAAGGCCCGGGCCGGGTCCAGGCCGAAGCCTGGCGGGGGGGGGGGGGACCCTTTTTTGGTTGGGTTTTTAGAGGGATGCCAGCAGCCAAAAACAAAGGCTTTCCTCTTTCCTTCTCTTTTTATATTTATCTATTTATATATATATATATGTATTATTGTTTTTGGGGGGTCCCATCTGCACAAAGCTCCACCCTTTGGCCTGCGAAGGTGCTTCTTATTGGGGGTTTGGATGCTCCTTTCAACAAATCTGTCATGCGACAATGTCCGAATCGGATTCTGGAGCTCAGATTTGGCAAACTGAGCCTTGCCTTTGATGTAGTACTCATTCACGTAGTAGTGGAAGCTGTTGTGCTGCTGTGGCGAGATGGGATAAAACTCGTCGATCTGCACGAACCTCAGCTTAGGATTGACCTTTCTATTTTTTTTTGTGGGGAAACATTGATATACCTCAACAAGGAATATCCTCAAAACATGTCGAAGCGGGACTCGCAAAAATTGGGACTCTTTTAGGTGGCCGATATCCGATTGAGCCAGCCAAAATGGGCTTCCCTCTGAGATGAAACAGGGGCCGTCGGTTTTGATGTGACTCCAAGCCACAAAATGCCTTGCGGGGAAGCGTCCAAGATAGACGTTAAAAGCCCCATCAAATGTGCGGTGTACGGAAAACCCTCCCACGGAAAAAGGCTCAGCTTGGATCGCCAGTTGCAGTTTTTTTTGCCCCATGCACTTTACCCAAAAACCAGCAACAGTGACTGAACAAAGCAGCAACTTGGCTTAGGAGGGTTGCAACCCTGCCTCAGCTTGTCCAGCTTGGGCTTTTCCGGCTTCATCCCCATCTTCCGGGCCTCTTCCTGGATGGGCGCGGACTCCCAGTCCCGCAAGATCCGCTGCACCCACTTGATGAAGTACTCCTGGGCAGAAGTGACACCAGTTGCATCAAAAACAAACTGCTCAAAGGAGCGCCGGAACAGGCTGGTTTCACTTTGGCTTCCTTTTCCAAACCAACCAAAAGGTGAGTTCCCCCCAAAGCAACCCAGTTTCACTTCGGATCCGAATCCCCGCAAAGCAGCTCGAATTCCGGATTCCATCTTGGGAGACCTCCCCCGTCCCCCCCACCCCAACCCAACCCGTCCCCCCCAACCCCCCCAACCCCCCCAACCCAACCCCCCCAACCCCCCCAACCCCCGCAACCCCCCCAACCCCCCCCCACCCCCCAACCCCTCCACCCCCCAACCCCCCCCAAACCCCCCAAACCCCCCAAACCCCCCAAACCCCCCAAACCCCCCAAACCCCCCAAACCCCCCAAACCCCCCAAACCCCCCAAACCCCCCAAACCCCCAAACCCCCCAAACCCCCCAAACCCCCCAAACCCCCCAAACCCCCCAAACCCCCCAAACCCCCCAAACCCCCCAAACCCCCCAAACCCCCCAAACCCCCCAAACCCCCCAAACCCCCCAAACCCCCCAAACCCCCCAACCCCCCAAACCCCCCTAAAAAACCCCCAAACCCCCCCCCCAAACCCCCCAAACCCCCCAAACCCCCCAAACCCCCCAAACCCCCCAAACCCCCCAAACCCCCCAAACCCCCCAAACCCCCCAAACCCCCCAAACCCCCCAAACCCCCCAAACCCCCCAAACCCCCCAAACCCCCCAAACCCCCCAAACCCCCCAAACCCCCCCAAAGGTCCCTTCACTTCCGGGCGTCTGGGGTCTTGCCGGTGGGCAGGGAGCACACGCCCTCGGGGCTCTGCTGGGCCCACTCTACGAAGCGCCAGGCCGCCGCCTTGCCCAGGGCCGGGAAGTTCTCCACCACCAGCACCCGGATCCTCGGATCTGGGGATCCAATCCGACGTCAGACCCCAATCCAACCAACCAAACCCAGTTTATAGATATATAATGTGCTTTAAATGTTTTTTGGTGGAATCCGATAACAAACCCACTTTTTTTGGGGGGGTTGGATCCGACAAACCCAGAAAGGTTGGTTGAACCCAAACCAACCAAACCAAGGATCGCTGGTGAATTCAACCAACCAAACTCAGTTTTTGGTATCCAACGACAAACCCAGGCTGGATTTTTTAATCCAACAACCCAAACCCCGGGGTTTTCGTTCACCCATTTTGCCATAACTTCTTTGGCAAAATGGAGGGAGGTGCCCCAATATCTCCAGCCCAAGAGATCATTGTTTCGCCAGTGTTACCCATTTTGCAACTCGTTGGGCCACCAACAAACAGGAGGTTGGGGTCAGCCGAGGAGACCCTTGGTTCTGCTGGAGTTCCAAAAAAAAACACCCATGGTTTTTTGCGGGATTCTCAAGAAAGGGGACACCCAGTTCTTTTGGAGGTGGGCCCCAAATTCACAGTTAACCAGGGGGAGGTTTAAAAAAAAAAAAAACACCAAAAAAACACGCAAACAAGGGGCTGCGGTTGCAACCGCGGCTCTTCTCCTCGGGCTCGTATAAGGGCTCAAAGGGGCTGCACGCCGCCAGGTGAGCTTCCACAGACGAGCCAGGCGAGTTCTCCAGCTTTCGCTTCATTGGGCCCGGCTTTGTCGGCGGCCAAAACCCGCTCGCTCGAGCCCGCAGCTCACGACGGCGAGGAAACGCCTTTCTTTCGCGGGCTTGCAGCTTTTCTCCAGCCGGAACACAAAACACGGCGCCGGCCGTTTTCTAGCTTTTCTTTTTTCTCCCGTAGCATCTCCTGGCTCTCTGCAGCCCAACCGGCCGTTGCAAACGTCCAGGGAGGGCGTCACCTCAGAGAAAGCCTTTGAGCAACTGGCGGGAGCCATCGGGTCTAAAGGCACTGTCTGCAGCCATGTTGCGGCGGGGAGATGGTGCACGTCACAAGTACCGCCTCAAGCAAGGGACGAGTTGAGTGATTGTGAGCACATGCTCTTTGTGCAAGTGGCGTCGTGGTCCGATTGATGGATCACCCGCTGTGCTTCTCCGCATTGAAGCCATGGAGTGTCGGTGCTGCGAAAGATTCCTCACTCCGCATCCGCACACGAAAACCAGCTTTCCCAGCATCCGGCTGGCAAAAAGCCACCGAAATTGTCCACAAGTTTATGTGGGGTTGACATGAAGACCAACATAGTCTGATCACAGGCGTACATGTGGATATACACATATACTTCATACATATATATATATATATATATACATACATACATATATATATATATACACTATAGACTATAGATGTGTCTGCGTATGTGCAAGGCAGTCTTACAGTTGGTCCTGGATTTATCAACTGGCAACTTGATGCAACCTTGTCAGCACTCACGTGCTCAAGCCTTCGGTCATGTTTGCAGCTGTGGCAGCCCCTTACATTAGCGCCGACCTCAATGGCCCCTGGCAGCCGCTGTGTTTGCGATGGTTCTGCCTTCTATGGCTCCGAATCCGTGAAACGCGGCTTTGCAAATTCTAGCTGGTCTTCAGGCTTTGGGTCATGACGCGGCTCATGACGCAGCAGGCTTCAACTGGCTTAGGCTTACCATGGGCCGGCCCAGAAGCAAAAGAAGCAGCAAGCTTTGCACGTATCTTGGCCTCTGCAGGTCGGGGCGCTATCCACCCAGGAGGGCGGATGTGATGACTTGTAGTACATCCAGCTGCCGTGCTCTTGGCACCGAAAGTTCCTTAAGTTCCAGAGGGCACTGAGGAGGAAAGCAAGTGGACTCAGCATAACATGCACCACGGAAGTCTGCAACACATCACACGCACAAACAGTTCGCACACCCTACGCCACGATGACAACCGCATGGTTGTTGAGAAGAACTGAAAAAAAACCCAATGACTCAACCGCGGCTCTTGTCAGGCTTGACATCCTCAGCGGAGATCTTCTTGTATGTCCTTAGGCGCAGTTGAACGGTAAGTCTTGAGGTCAAAGGAGCAGGTGCATGAGTGAGAAGCATTGTTTATACTTTCTGTGTACCCTGTTTACAAGGACCAAAATGCTCCACCGGACCAACCGCGTGGGTCGCACAGGAGCCCAGTGCCTGGAAAACCCTGCAGTATCGTGTCCAAGGCCTTTGCTCGGGACGGCCTTTCTCTGAAAACCTTCAGCGATTCTCACCCAGCCAAATGGCTAGTTGTATGTTTGCTTCCTTTCCTTTTTTGTTTTCATGTCGTCTAATTCTCTTCAAAAGGAGAAAAACACGCAGAATCAAGCAAACACCAACACGCACGCACGCAATCTCTGGCATCCATCCGCGGTGACGTCTCACGGCGAGGTGCGGGCACTTCAAGCCCTGAACCTCCGAGAGGCTCTGGTCGTGAAGGAGCTGGCGGAAGGTCACCTGACCAAACTTGCCCGTTTGATTCTCCTTCCTTGGCCGTCCTTTTTGTGGGGGTGGCCCCCAAATTGGTGGCTCTCCTTGGGTTTGCCTTTAAAACCAACAAACAAGGGGTAACTTATGGTACCCTCAAGACAAAGACACGCCCTCTTGAACAATTGGAGGAGGCCCATCTAGGGATCTCACACATTTTCGAGAACCCTTTGTTTTCCGCAAAGGGATCCAAAGGTCAACAGCCCCAAAACTTCACACCTGTCGCGGACCCAAAACCCATTTGTTCTCGGCAAGCAAGGACGAGCAAAAACCCTGCAAGCCAATCTCAGTAAACGATTAGCAACTCCCCGAAATAAAGGCCAATCAAGTTAAAGACCTGCAAGGATTGCAAAAAACAACTATTCAATCATTTTTGAGCCTCCCCCCCCCCCCTCCGATTAAAGGTGCCTCCCTTCACCCCCAAACCAAACAACCTGCCAGAAAAGAAGCTTTCCTGTTTGCTTAGTATTAGTTTTGTCTGTGCTTAAACCCATTTATACTAAGCCACTGTTCAGCCCCTCAAGTTGTCTACACATGGTGCGCTGCCCCGAAATGCGTTTGTCTTACTAAAGTGTATTTGAGATGACAAAGTTTGCAGGCTCACAAAGGGGGCCGGCCTTCTTGGAGGCAGCCCCCATGAACAGAAAAGCCCAGATCAATCAGGGCCCTGCCGAACTGCCAAGCAGGCACTGCTTGCGCAGAGGATCGAAGAGCTTCTCCAGGTTCCAGTTCAATACGCCAGAAGCAAAAGGAAAAAACCGCTCATCAAAGAAGGCCTCCAACAAACTTCAGTGGGGGGGCCTTTGTTAATCAGGGTGATCATTACCAAGCTTTGTGCTTGGTTGGTTTGCATTTGTTTGAAAAGAACCGGTGCCCCAATTTAACTTGTGTGCCAAACAAGGAGCCGTTTCGGACCCTAGTTTAAGGTTGCCGTCTGGCAGGCAGCAGAGCCCCACATGCACCCCTGTCCGCACATGGGCGGCTTTGCAACAAGGGGAGTGAGGGCGGGACAAACAGCTTGCTGCAACCTGACTGGGGCTGGGCAAGGTTGCGTGATATGCGACCGGTCCAACCTTCCCCTTGCCCAAGTCAGCAGTGAGCCCGCCAAGTTGTCGCACTGCTTGACGCATGGCCAGCCAAAGCAACGTTAGCAAGCTGCGCCAAAGCTTCCAACGCCGCGATCACCAGCTGCTCAACCAACCCAACCCTTCGGGCCGTCTGTTTTCGTTCGAGTTATGATGTCTCGTGCTTGGGAACATCACCCAGTGGTCTGTTGCAGTCCAACCATCGTTACTATGTAAGAACTGGGCAGATGGCTTGGTGGTTTGGCTGTTTGGGTGGACCAGTAACCCTCTAGAAAAGCCGGTAAGGGGGCATGACATGCGGCTTGGTGAGGTGGAGGGGTTTCCCATCAACCCTCTACAGCCGATAACGGGCATGACCCTGACAGCCGAGGGGCCAGCTCCCCCGCCGTGCCGACGCCCAGAATATCCTGGCCTGGACCCATGGAATGCGGCTGGCTCTCTCGCTTCAAAAGCACACGCCGAAGAACCTGGTCTTTTTGTTGAGGCTACCCTCTTTTGCGGTTGTACAGAGAAATCAACCGGAAAAACCAACAACATTTTGGGGATTCTCCCCCGAAAAAAAAGAAGAAAAAAAACACTCCCATCTTGAGGCATGGAATTTCGGCACGCCACCTGCCCTGAGGTTGGCCAAGTCCTCCTCCGGGTCCCCAGAATTCGGCCACACCGGGCAGCCCGCCTCCAAAATCAGGAAGCCAGCCGGCATCCCTCGAACCGGTGGTTTGGATTTGGATTTGATTGGATCTTGTAGAGGGTAAATGGGAAACCCCTGCTTGACCGTTGTGCGGCCATTTGGGGGCGTTTTCCACTGCTGAGGCGTTTTTGATAGGAGTTTGAGCGCATCTGCGCCGAAAACTGAGGCAACAAAAGAAACGATCAGAAACTGGTACTCATTGGCACTTTATTGCTTCCTGCCGGGTATGTCATGCTCTTCTTGTTCAGCACACAGCGGTCTTGCAACCCAGAACGCTTTTTTCCGCAAAAAAGCCTAATGCCTCCAAATGGTGGCACTGAGGAAAATGGAGTCCAATAAGCCACCCCCCTTCCCCAGCTGCGGTGACCTTGTTTCCATGGACCTCGCTGCCTGGCTGCCCAATGGCTGCACTGTCCGCGGATTGAAGTCGCCGCCCCACAGCACAGCCGCCTTGCTGACGTTCTTGCGCCTCGGGGCATGGGCCAATGGGGCCTGCCCGCGTTTGCGCATCCACCCCATTTTTCGATGGTTTTGAAGGGAAGCCTTGCCGCCAACCATAAACTTCCGCCACACCCATTATGAGCAAATTGAGTGGCCCTCAAGAAAGAATGTTTCTCCAACCATTGCCAAGAAACAACTCGTTGACCGATCTCAGGGCGGTCTCGAAGTCTAACACGCGCTGCCGCTCAGCAGGGTGAGCTACCGCGGCCTGGCAGGGCTCTGCTTTCTTCTTGCCGCGGACGCCTTCCGTGCCGTGTGTGGATGCCATTACCAGGCTCCTGAAGCGTGCGCCGTGGCAACGGAGCATGCATTTTGGTCCAAGTTTGGCCTCCGCTTGATGGAATTGAACAAGCAACACAAGCACATGTTTGGACAGGTCCAGCAGTATCTACCAAACACAGCCAACATTTTTTGCCACAACAGCCTGCCGCTGATCCCAAATGTAGCCGCAACGGTTCCCTTGACAGTCGTTGCAGTTGTTGATGAGCGGATCGCCCGGACAGCGTCAGTATCATTCACATCGATGTCCACCGCAACCTGGTACGAAGGTTTGCGTTGCGCCCCACAGGCCCGCGAAGTCACATGGCTGGAAAGGAGTGGAGAGGTGCCCCGGCTTTTTACCAGCCCCGGCTCGGCACAAGCTGGGGGTTGGTGGCCGCATCGCCAGCATTACTGGCCTCACTCGGACGAGAGCTGCCTATTGGCTTTGGTTTGGTGGCAGTTCAGGGTTGATCGGGGCTGGTTTGGGGTGAGTGTTGGGCTTGCTGAGATATTAATGCGGGCGGGTCTTGGGTTTGTTTAGGGTTCATTTA